ATCAAGACCCATATATATGCTGTCTACAAGAGACCCACTTCAGACCTAGGGACACATATAGACTGAAAGTGAGGGGATGGAAAAAGATACTCCATGCAAATGGAAATCAAAAGAAAGCTGGAATAGCAATACTCATATCAGATAAAATAGACTTTAAAATAAAGAATGTTACAAGAGACAATGTTACAAGGAAGGACACTACATAATGATCAAGGAATCAATCCAAGAAGAAGATATAACAATTATATATAATATTGTAAATATATATGGTGCACCATAGGAGCACCTCAATACATAAGGCAACTGCTAACAGCTATAAAAGAGGAAATTGACAGTAACACAGTAATAGTGGGGGACTTTAACACCTCACCTACACCAATGGACAGACCATCCAAACAGAAAATTAATAAGGAAACACAAGCTTTAACTGACACTATAGACCAGATAGATTTAATTGATATTTATAGGACATTCCATCCAAAACCAGCAGATTACACTTTCTTCTCAAGTGTGCACAGAACATTCTCCAGGATAGATCACATCTTGATTCACAAATCAAGCCTCAGTAAATTTAAGAAAATTGAAATAGTATCAAGCATCTTTTCTGACCACAATGCTATGAGATTAGAAATCAATTACAGGGAAAAAAACGTAAAAAACACAATCACGTGGAGGCTAAACAATACGTTACTAAATAACCAAGAGATCACTGAAGAAATCAAAAGAGGAAATCAAAAAGTACCTAGAGGGCTTCCCTGGTGGCACAGTGGTTAAGAATCCGCTTGCCAATGCAGGGGGAACGGGTTCAAGCCCTAGTCTGGGAAGATCCCACATGTCATGGAACAACCAAGTCCGTGTGCCACAAGTACTGAGCCTGCGCTCTAGAGCCCGTGCTCTGCAACAAGAGAAGCCACCGCAATGAGAAGCCAGTGCACCACAGCAAAGAGTAGCCCCCGCTCACCTCAACTAGAGAAAAGCCCGGGTGCAGCAACAAAGACCCAGTGCAGCCAAAAATAAAATTAATTAATTTAAAAAAATCATTAAAAAAACCCCTAGAAGCAAATGACAGTGAAAACACGACAATCCAAAACTTATGGGATGCAGCAAAAGCAGTTTTAAGAAGGAAGTTTATAGCAATACAAGCCTACCTCAATAAACAAGAAAAATCTCAAATAAACAATCTAACCTTACACCTAAAGGAACTAGAGAAAGAAGAACAAACAAAACCCAAAGTTAGTAGAAGGAAAGAAATCATAAATATCAGAGCAGAAATAAATGAAATAGAAACAAAGAAAACAATAGCAAAGATCAATAAAACTAAAAGCTGGTTCTTAGAGAAGATAAGCAAAATTGATAAACCATTAGCCAGACTCATCAAGAAAAAGAGGGAGAGGACTCAAATCAATACAATTAGAAATGAAAAAAAAGTTACAACAGACACCACAGAAATACAAAACATCCTAAGAGACTACTACAACCAACTCTATGCCAATAAAATGGACAACCTGGAAGAATTGGACAAATTCTTAGAAAAGTATAGCATTCCAAGACTGAACCAGGAAGAAATAGAAAATATGAACAGACAAATCACAAGTAATGAAATTGAAACTGTGATTAAAAATCTTCCAACAAACAAAAGTCCAGGACCAGATGGCTTCACAGGTGAATTCTATCAAACATTTAGAGAAGAGCTAACACCCGTCCTTCTCAAACTCTTCCAAAAAATTGCAGAGAAAGGAACACTCCCAAACTCATTCTATGAGGCCACCATCACCCTGATACCAAAACCAGACTAAGATAGTACAAAAAAAGAAAATTATAGACCAATATCACTGATGAATATAGATGCAAAAATCCTCAACAAAATACTAGCAAACAGAATCCAACAACACATTAAAGGGGTCATACACCATGATCAAGTGGGATTTATCCCAGGTATGCAAGGATTCTTCAATATATGCACATCAATCAATGTGATAACCATATTAACAAACTGAAGAGTAAAAACCATATGATCATCTCAATATATGCAGAAAAAAGCTTTTGACAAAATTCAACACCCGTTTATGATAAAAACTCTCCAGCAAGTGGGCATAGAGGGAACCTACATCAACATAATAAAGGCCATATATGACAAACCCACAGCAAACATCATTCTCAGTGTTGAAAAACTGAAAACATTTCCTCTAACGTCAGGAAGAAGACAAGGATGTCCACTCTTGCCACTTTTATTAAACATAGTTTTGGAAGTACTAGCCACAGCAATCAGAGAAGAAAAAGAAATAAAAGGAATACCAATTGGAAAAGAAGAAGTAAAGCTGTCACTGTTTGCAGATGACACGATAGTATACACAGAGAATCCTAAAGATGCCACCAGAAAACTACTAGAGCTAATCAATGAATTTGGTAAAGTTTCAGGATACAAAATTAATGCACATAACTAATAAGAACCTGATATATATTTTAAAAAACTCAAAAATTCAGAAAAAAAAATTAATGCACAGAAATCTCTTGCATTCCTGTACACTAATGATGAAAAATCTGAAAGAGAAATTAAGAAAACACTCCCATTTACCATTGCAACAAAAGGAATAAAATACCTAGGAATAAACCTACTTAGGGAGACAAAAGACCTGTATGCAGAAAACTGTAAGACACTGATGAAAGAAATTAAAGATGATACCAACAGATGGATAGACATACCATGTTCTTGGATTGGAAGAATCAGTATTGTGAAAATGACTATACTACCCAAAGCAATCTACAGATTCAATGCAATCCCTATCAAATTACCAATAGCATTTTTTACAGAACTAGAACAAAAAATCTTAAAATTTGTATGGAGACACAAAAGACCCCAAATAGCCAAAGCAGTACTGAGGGAAGAAAACGGATCTGGAGGAATGAGGCTCCCTGACTTCAGACTATACTACATAGCTACAGTAATCAAGACAATATGGTACTGGCACAAAAACAGAAATATAGATCAATGGAATAGGATAGAAAGCCCAGAGATAAACCCACGCACCTGTGGTCAACTAATCTATGACAAAGGAGGCAAGGATATACAATGGAGAAAAGACAGTCTCTTCAATAAGTGGTGCTGAGAAAACTGGACAGCTACATGTGAAAGAATGAAATTAGAACACTCCCTAACACCATACACAAAAATAAACTCAAAATGGATTAGAGACCTAAATGTAAGACTGGGCACTCTAAAACTCTTAGAGGAAAACATAGGAAGTACACTCTTTCACACAAATCACAGGAAGATCTTTTTTGATCCACCTCCTAGAGTAATGGAAATAAAAGCAAAAATAAACAAATGGGATCTAATGAAACTTAAAAGCTTTTGCACAAAGGAAACTACAAACAAGATGAAAAACTCTCAGAATGGGAGAAAATATTTGCAAACAAATCAACAGACAAAGGATTAATCTCCAAAATATATAAACAGCTCATGCAGCTCAATATTAAAAAAAAACTCAATCCAAAAATGGGCTAAAAACCTAAATAGACATTTCTCCAAAGAAGACATAAAGATGGCAAGGGAGCACATGAAAAGCTGCTCAGGGGCTTCCCTGGTGGCGCAGTGGTTGAGAGTCCGCCTGCCGATGCAGGGGACACAGGTTCATGCTCCAGTCTGGGAAGATTCCACATGCCGCGGAGCGGCTGGGCCCGTGAGCGATGGCTGCTGAGCCTGCGCCTCCGGAGCCTGTGCTCCGCAACGGGAGAGGCCACAACAGTGAGAGGCCTGCATACCGAAAAAAAAAAAAGAAAAAAAAGCTGCTCAACATCACTAATTATTAGAGAAATGCAAATCAAAACTATAATGAGGGATCACCTCACACCAGTTAGAATGGGCATCATCAGAAAATCTACAAACAACAAATGCTGGAGAGGGTGTGGAGAAAAGGGAACCCTCTTGCACTGTTGGTGGGAATGTAAATTGATACAGCCACTATGGAGAACAGTATGGCGGTTCCTTAAAAAACTAAAAATAGAATTACCATATGACCCAGCAATCCCACTACTGGTCATATACCCAGAGAAAACCTTAATTCAAAAAGACACATGCACCCCAATGTTCATTGCAGCACTATTTACAATAACAAGGTCATGGAAGCAACCTAAATGCCCATCGACAGACGAATGGATAAAGAAGATGTGGTACATATATACAATGGAATATTACTCAGCCGTAAAAAGGAATGAAATTGGGTCATTTGTAGAGACGTGGAGGGATCTAGAGACTGTCATACTGAGTGAAGTAAGTCAGAAAGAGAAAAACAAATATCGTATATTAACACATGTATGTGGAACCTAGCAAAATGGTACAGAAGAACTGGTTTGCAGGGCAGAAATAGAGTCACAGATGTAGAGAACAAACGTATGGACACCAAGGGGGGAAAGTGGCGGGGGATGGGGGATAGTGTGATGAATTTGGAGATTGGGATTGACATACATACACTATTATGTATAAAATGGATAACTAGTAAGAACCTGCTGTATAAAGAAATAAAATTCAAAAATAAATTTTAAAAATAAATAAAAAAAAGAAAACTACAATGAGAGAAGGAAAAGAATTACACCTCACACTAGTCAGGATGGCTGTCATCAAAAAGTCTACAAATAAATGCTGAAGAGGGTGTGGAGAAAAGGGAGCCCACTGACACTGTTGGTGGGAATGTAAATTGGTACAGCCACTATGGAGAACAGTATGGAGGTTCCTTAAAAAACTACAAATAAAGTTACCATATGATCCATCAATCCCACTCTTGGGTATATTTCTGGAAAAGATGAAAACTAATTTAAAAAGATACATGCACCCCAATGTTCATAGCAGCACTGTTTACAATAACCAAGGCATGGGGCTTCCCTGGTGGCCCAGTGGTTAAGAATCCGCCTGACAACGCAGGGGACACAGGTTCGAGCCCTTGTCCGGGAAGATCCCACGTGCTGCAGAGCAACTAAGCCCATGTGCCACAGCTACTGAGCCTGTGCTCTAGAGCCCACGAGCCACAACTGCTGAAGCCCTCGTGGCACAACTACTGAAGCCCCCACACCTAGAGCCCGTGCTCAACAACAAGAGAAGCCACCACATTGAGAAGTCCGTGTACCGCAACGAAGAGTAGCCCCTGCTCGCCGCAACTAGAGAAAGCCCATGCACAGCAACGAAGACCAAATGCAGCCAAAAATAATTAAATAAGATTTATTAAAAAAAAAAAATAGCCAAGGAATGGAAACAACCCAAGTGTTCATCAACAGATGAATGGATAAAGAAGACGTGACATACACACACACACACACACATACTCACACACACACACAATGGAATATATTACTCAGCCATAAAAAAGAATGAAATAATACCATTTGCAGTAACATGGATGGAGTGGAGATTATCATACTAAGTGAAGTAAGTCAGACAAAGACAAATACTAAATGATATCACTTATATGTGGAATCTGAAAAATAATACAAATGAACTTTTTACAAAACAGATAGACTCACAGACATAGAAAACAAACTTATGGTTACCAAGGGGGAAGGGGGGTGGGGTGAGGGATAAATTAGAAGTATGGATTAAGATGTACACTACCATATACAAACTAGGTAGACAACAAAGATTTACTGTATAGCACAGGGAGCTATATTGAATATCTTGTAACAACATATGGAAAAGAATAAAAAAACCCAACATATATATGTATAACCAAATTACTTTGCTGTGCGTGTGAAACTAACACAATATTGTAAATCAACTATACTTCAATACAAAAAAAAAAAAGATGTATGTTTACAGAAGTCCAAGATGTAATAAGCAAAAAAAAAGCAAGTTTCAGAACTAAGTGTGTATAGTAAGGTACATTTTTAGTTATATACCTATTTGTTCCACATTATATGGATGTGTAATGTTTGAATTTTACCAATGAAATTTATTACTTTTATAATAAAAACATCAATATAAATGAGATCCTGATACTTTTAAAAAATTAGGGCCTCCTAATGAACTTGCATGGTATGGGGTCTTCAAAATCTCAGCTTTGGAAAGCCTATAATCCACTTTCTTCATTTAGAGATGATCAGACTTTAAGAACTGACTAATTAAGCAAAACTGGCAAGAGACTTGTAGGACTCAGAAGCCAGATGCCAATGTTTTGATTTACACTGGGATATTGAATGACTTGTTTTTGTAAACTCAAAAGCAGTGCTATGTGCCTTGTTTGGCCAGAATCTAAAGCAGAACTCTAAGGCTTATGACATTTGTGTGGTTGTGTGATGAAAATCAGAGGGTGAAGCATTTGCCATAATAACCTTCATTCATTTTAAAGGCAGATCTGTCTTCACTGACATTTAGGCTATAGAGAGGTGCTGCTGAAGCAACGTTGATAGATAGCAGCTCAAAAAAAAGAAAAAAAAAGGCAGAAAAATGTTTTAAGGGTAGAACAACCATCTCAAATGTCTGTGCTAATACATAGGAAATCCGGAAAAGAAAGCTACAGACAGATAACAGATATGCCTGAATAAGCGTCTTAAGAAGTCATACTCCTAAGAAAACTACTTCAAAGAAGCCCTCTGAGTCCTATAGACTAGTTGAAAGTGTTCTCTTGCTTTCTGATTTTTTATAGAAAAGTAAAGGCAGAAGCAAACTGATATCTTGTCAGAGTTTTTAATTGTATTATTTAAATTACTACTTAGATTAATTCATTTGCACAGATTTGTAAAAGCTTTATATCCCAGAATGTAATGAAATACAGTACTTATGGTTATTGCTATTAAAATTAGTCATCTTTCTCATTATGTCAAGAACATAATCCCTTTTAGGTAGCTGTTTCTAGCATGAAATAATTCTAGTTTGATCTACAATACCCTTTCCAGGAACATAAAATGCCTTGCATGTAAGGACCTCTTAGGTGTAAGAGGACCTTTCATTTATCTAGGAATAGTGCTGGAGATCCCATGATTGGGCACAGTGGTGAATCTGGGAATAAATACCTAGTCTACCTTTAGCTTTTCACTTATTTGCTATATTGCAAAGTAATGGAGAGAGAATTTGGTAGGCTTAGTATCCTGGAGAAATTGACATGACTCAAGAGTAGTGACAGGTTCCAGTACACCACTGGGTCCTTCTGTCTGAGCAATGCATGACATAAAACCAGCTAATTAAGCCACTTATATTCTGAAAATGTAGGTTTATATTGCTGTGACAGAGCTGAAGATCATGCTTGCCAAAATGCCTGCAAGAGAATTCTGATGTCTAAGAAAACAGAAATGGAGATTGTTGATGGCCTCATCGAGGGTTGTAAGACCCAGCCTTTGCCTCAGGATCCACTTTGGCAGTGTTTTCTTGAAAGCTCACAATCTGTTCACCCTGGAGTCACTGTACACCCTCCTCCCTCTACAGGCCTTGATGGCGCTAAATTGCACTGTTGTTCTAAAGCAAACACTTCAACGTGTAGGTTAGTACCTCATTTTCCTTTATTAAAAACAGTAGAAAATAGCATTTTAATTAATGAATTTAAGTCTAGCAAATATGTGTTATGTTCTTGCACTGTGTAGTCTTAAGAGTCTAGAAGATATAAAATCATCCTTTCATCCAGCAGATATTTATTGAGCATGATGTATATATAGAACATTGTTTTTGTACATTGAACTAAAAGCACTGTGTTTTGGGGTGTGGAGGTTTAGCATCGGCAGGGCAATAAATATTTAAAGATGATGCAATATGAATTCTACCCTCGAGTTTATCGTCAAGTAAGCTTACAATTTAGGAGATGTTTTGACCAGACATCTAAGGGGTATTCTTTTTGTTAAATTGTGAAACTTTGAACTTAATCAACTATTTGCATATGTTGGTGAATAACCTGGGCTGACACTTATATCCAAAGTTAGACAGCAGTGTATTGGCATTCATTTGGATGATACACTTAGGGATAAAAAATTGGCAATACTATTTGTGTAGGTTGGAGGAAACACAATCTAGAGATAAGAATAAATGGAGATAAGGTAAAGGTTTAACACAGGCGAAACAGAAGTTTGCTTTATTAGAGATATTTTGGGTGAAAAGGTACCACATATTACTAGAATATCCTGAAATGAATATGACATACGAGGAGTGAAACGATCTTTCCTGTGGTTTCTAAATTGGATGGACTTTAGCAAAAAATTGTGCCTAGAATAGCTCATCAGACTTTATCAAAGATATGAAAAAATCTGGAAAATACCCAAAGAAAATTAACAGAAGGGCTAAAAGAGAAGTTAAGTTGGCCCTATAATTCAGGAAATTGTGTTGCTGATAGGAATTGATAAATGTACATATGGGAGGGATGCTGAGTACTTTTTTGAATGTCTACAAAAGAGTTTATGCCCTGTAGTCACTGGAGATAGGACTGGCTGTGTCATCCCAGAAGAATTTCAGTAAGAAACATGGCACCTCTTACCTTGATGTAAGGTTTTATGGTTTACTGAATGCTTTCACTTTCATCTTGTTTCATCCTCATGAAACCTTACAAGATGACTTGTATCATCTTATGACTGATGTCAATTTGTATAATTCTTGTATATATATAGAAAACTAACTCTGAGATGTTAAACAATCTGTCCAAGGTCATACAGAAAGTTAGGACTAAAGAAAGGACTGATTTCCAGATCAAGGTACCTAATGGATTTTTTTTTTTTTTTTTTTTTTTTTTATGGCTGCGTTGGGTCTTAGTTGCTGCGTGCAGGCTTTCTCTAGTTGTGGCAAGCAGGGCTACTCTTTGTTGCGGTGCGCGGGTTTCTCATTGCTGTGGCTTCTCTTGTTGCGGAGCACAGGCTCTAGGCACAGAGGCTCAGTAGTTGTGGCACGTGGGCTCAGTAGTTGTGGCTCATGGGCTCTAGAGCACAGGCTCAGTAGTTGTGGTGCACAGGCTTAGTTGCACCACGGCATGTGGGATCTTCCTGGACCAGGGCTCAAACCTGTGTCCCCTGCATTGGCAGGCAGATTCTCAACCACTGCACCTCCAGCGAAGTCCCTACCTAATGGATCTTGATATCAGCTTTCTCATCCCCATGATGTGTAAGCTCAACTGAGAGCAGAGACTTTGTCTCTTTTATTCACCACTGCATTTCCAGTGCCTTCAACAGGGCCTCACACAAAACAGGCACTCAATAAATGCTGGGAGAGTGAATGAGCAAACTTATAAAAGTAAAGATACCCTCCTCATAGGGGTAATCATGAGAGTCAAAATGTGACAGGGGTGGAGAATTTCTACTTGTGATTTTGCATATTCCGGTAGTATTAAAATTTTATATTATGTGTTACTTTTTTTTGACACTTTTATTACATTTATAAATGTTAAAAATTAAACTAATGAATATAATGTATGAAAGCACTTTGGAAATGATACTGATGTTATTTTAGCTTTATACATGCACTGAAGTTGCTTTATAATCATCGAGTACTGAAATAAAAATGCATACATACTACAATAGTGTATATAGTATATATTACTATATACAGTAGTTTATAGCAGCTTTGGAATTCATAAAGCCTTTACATGTAGGCTATCTTGGTATATCTTAAGGAATATAAGTGGCTTGGGGATACTTTTTCAGGGAGAATCCAGTGAACCCTAAGTCTATAATGCTTCTTGAAAGGAGTCTGGGGCTTCCCTGGTGGCGCAGTGGTTGAGAGTCCGCCTGCCAGTGCAGGGGACGCGGGTTCGTGCCCCGGTCCGGGAAGATCCCACGTGCCGTGGAGCGGCTGGGCCTGTGAGCCATGGCCGCTGAGCCTGTGCGTCCAGAGCCTGTGCTCCGCAACGGGAGAGGCCACAACAGTGAGAGGCCCGCGTACCGCAAAAAAAAAAAAAAAAGGAGTCTGAGGATCATGTCACAGTTTTGCCTCCTGTGATTGAAGTATAAATATATATCTTTGTGGAGGCAACACCATATGCTTTACCTTACTTCAAGTAAAGGTAAAAGAGAGATCAGAAATATAAAGGGGAATAATTGTGCCAAGAATAAGGATGTACAAATACTATAATTAAACATTAAATTTAGCACTGAGCTTTCTAGAAACCATAGCAAAAAGGAAAGAGATGGATAATAAAGCTAACTTTTTCATATAAAAGATTACTTTTTCAGGCTCTAAATTCTAGAAGATAGATCTTAGTCTTTTGGTTTTTGTACCTTTTTTTTCATTTATGTTCTAAAGTACAGTTCATAGAGTTCAAGTTTTATGCAAATCAAATATTTATTCATTTGGCTCATCTGTACGTTTCTTCATTTGTTCTTTTGTTTCAGGGAACTGTGCACTAAACTTTATAGCATGAGCTGGGGCAATACACAGAGTTGGCAAGAGTTTGATCGCTTTTGTGAATATAATCCAGTGGAAGTGTCCATGTTGACCTGTTTAGCAGATGTTCGGGAACCTTGCCAGTTGGGCTGTAGAAATCTTACTTACTGTACTAATTTTAACAACAGGTAGGAGCAAATTACTATACGTGGAATAGAAGTATTTTATCATTAATTGCCTTGTTTTTAAATAAGTGAAAAGATCATTTTACTCTGATTTTGTTCCTGCTAAGTTAAAAGGAAGTAGTATACCTTTATCATTTCATCTTTAAATGCTATATTCTATCTTGTAAATCACCCCTGGGAAAGGAAGCACTGTAACAAAGTCCCTTCTAATCTCGAGATACTTCAAACTTCTAGAACTCAAAGAGTCTCCTCTGCCTTCAGTCTACCATTCTTCCCCTCTTCCTTCTGCTGCACCACCAGTGGAAATAATTCACTGCAGAATAAAACACTGTGAGCAATTTGCTCATCCGAATGCCCCCTTACGGACAATTTTGTGGTTTTTTTGTTTTTGTTTTTGTGGTACGTGGGCCTCTCACTGTTGCGGCCTCTCCCGCTGTGGAGCACAGGCTCCGGATGCGCAGGCTCAGCGGCCATGGCTCACGGGCCCAGCCGCTCCGTGGCATGTGGGATCTTCCCGGACCGGGGCACGAACCCATGTCCCCTGCAACGGCAGGCAGACTCTCAACCACTGCGCCACCAGGGAAGCCCGGACAATTTGTTTTGAAAGACCTTCAGATTGGTTGAAGTTCCCACTCAGTGAGTCCCCTATTTCAAACAAAAACTTTCTTTACAGAAGCAATTTGAATAGGTGTTTCCCTGAGATATCAGTTATGGTGTGAAAAATAAGGGCCAAGAACTGAATTAATGGCTGAAGAAGCAACGAAGAAAACAGAAAAAGGGCATCCAGAAGCATAGAGAATGCCGTATCAGAGAAGCCAGAGAAGGAGAGTTTCTAAAGAAAAGGGGACTGGCTGGTTTTATGAGCTGCAGCCCAGAGATCAAGAACACAAAAAGGAAGAGAATCATTCAGTTGAGGCAGAAGGAAGTTCAGAGGATACTCACCTCAAGCTAACACATATCCAATCCTCTTAAAAGTATTCAGATTATTATTTTGAGTAAGAAAATTGAGGTATCTTTACAACTAGTGTTAGCCAATAAGGACCTGGCTTAGAGGTTGAGCAAATTTGAAGTCTATGAAATGTTTCAAGTTAAACTTGCACATAGTTCTAGCTTCTGGTAATGGTGGAGCAGTTTGTATCAGACTGCCACTCCTGTCAGTACCAATTATGAGCTCTGCACAAAATATAAAAACATAATTGTTTTGAAGCCATTTGAGAGTGACCAAAAACAGGAGGAGGTACATCTCATGAAAGATAGAAGCCACACTGAGTGGGGGCCACATTTATCCAGTTTTTTCTTCATGGGCACTCTCAGTCCCCTGGCATGGCATATAGAATTCAAGCAAAAAGCAGCAGTCTTGGGCTGAGGAGTTAAGAGATCACAGTTTGGGGCTGCCAGAGTGGCTGGATATGAAATCGGAAAATCCCAGAAAGGAGGGAACCGCAAAAGGAGATGCCCCAACAATCTGCATACAAGCTCCCCTTAAATCCTTGAATTTAACAAAGTCACAGGGTACAACTTTAACATACAAAAGCCAATTGTATTTCTGTATATTAGCAACAAACAATTAGAAAATGAAATTTATAAAAAAAAATTTACACAATTGCATCAAAAATATGAAATACTTAGAGATTAACAAAAGATGTGCAAGAACTCTACACTAGGAACCAGAAAACTTTGAAGAGAGAAGTTAAATGGAGAGAAGTACCATGTTCATGGATTAGAAGACTCAGTATTGTTAAGATGTTAATTCTCCTGAAACCAATCTCTAGATTCCGTGCAATCTCAATCAAAATCCCAACCAGCTTTTTAAAATAGAAAGTGCCAGACTAATTCTAAAATTCATATGAAAAGACAAATAACCTAGAATAGCTAAAACAATTTTTTTAAGGAATAAATTTGGAGAACTTACAGTACATGATTTCAAGACTTATTACAAAGCAATAGAAATTAAGTCAATGTAGCAATTCCCTGGTGGTCCAGTGGTTAGGACTCTGTGCTTTCACTGCCGAGGGCCCAGGTTCAGTCCCTGGTCAAGGAACCTAAGATCCCACAAGACGTGTGGTGCAGCCAAAAAAGAATAATAATAAATTATATAATAATAAATAAATTAAAAAATTTTAATTTTAAAAAGAAATTAAATCAATGTAATATTGGCATAAGTTTAGACAAATAGATCAATGACAAAATAGAGAGGCAAGAGTAGACCTACACATATAAATTGATTTTCAACAAAGGCAGCAAGGCAATTCAGTGCAAAAAGAAACATCTTATCAACAAATGATGCTGGAACAACTGAATATCTGTATGAAAAAAATAAAACCTTAACCTCCATCTCACACCATCCACAAAAATTAATTCAAGATGGGTCATAGAACTAAACATAAAAGCTAAAAATAAAAGCTTCTAGAAAAAAAAAATAGCAGACTGTGTTGATAGCCTTGATATAGCCAGAGATTTTGTAGGCAGGACACAAAATACACTAATTATAAAAGAAAAAAATTAATGAACTAGAGTTCAACGGTAAACATTTTTGTTCACCAAAAGACACCATTTAAAATTTGAAAAGATAAGCCACAGTCTGAGAAAAAATATTCAATATATTACACATGTACACACACATGTGCATTTGACAGAGGTCCTGTATCCAGAATATATAAATAACTCCCACAGCCTCATAATAAAAAGTCAAACAACCCAATTAAAAAATGGGCAGGGCTTCCCTGGTGGCGCAGTGGTTGCGAGTCCCCCTGCCGATGCAGGGGACACGGGTTCGTGCCCCGGTCCAGGAAGATCCCACATGCCGCGGAGCGGCTGGGCCCGTGAGCCATGGCCGCTGAGCCTGTGCCTCCGGAGCCTGTGCTCCGCAACGGGAGAGGCTGCAACAGTGAGAAGCCCGCGTAACGCAAAAAAAAAAAAAGGACAAAATATTTTCAAGGACACTTCATCAAAGAAGACATCAACAGAGCTACTTAGTATATGAAAAAGTGTATTACCATTAGTCATGCAAAATGCAAATAAAAACCCCAATGAGATGCCTCCTCATACCAAAAGTTAAAATTAGAAGACTGACAAGCATGTAAACCAACTAGAAGTTTCATACATTGCTGGTGAGAGTGTAAAATGGTATGACCACTTTGGAAAACAGTTTGGCAGTTTCTTAATAAGTTATGACCCAAAAATGCCATTCATAGCCAGGGGAAAGAGACATGAAAACTAGAAACAACCTTAATGTCTATAAAACAGTGAATGAATAAACCAGCATTTCTCAAAGTGTGGACTGTGGTCCCCAAAACCCCTTGAGATCAAAACTATTTTTATAATAATACTAAGATGTTATTTGCCTATTTCACTCACATTCTCAAAAGAGTGAAGAGTGAAGTTTTCCAGCTGCTTTAAGACATGATACAGCAACAGATTGAATGCAGGAGCAGATATGAAAATGCAGCTGTCTTCTATAAAGCCAGACATTAAATAGATTTTCAAAACTATAAAACAGATCTACCCTTCTCACTAATTTTTGCTTTAACATGTAATGAATGGGTTTATTATCATTTTAAATGAATAAGTACTTTAAAAATCTCTCAGTTTTGATTTACAATGTGATGGGTAGGGGTGGATATAACCCACATAAACAAAAACTTTTTGAGAACTTAATAATTTCAAGAATGTAAATGAGTCATGAGATCAAAAAGTTTGGGAACCACTGAGATAAACAAATTGTGGTACATTTATTAATGGAATACTACTGAACAATAAAAAGAACAATTTATATGTATAACAACATAAGTAAATCTCAAGAAGATTATTTAGCTAAAGACACTAGACGCAAAAGAATACATATAGTATGATTCCATTTATATGAAGTTCTACAATGGGCAGAATTAATCGATGGTGATCTAAGCACAGATGGTGGTGGCCTCTGGGGTGCAGTCAGCAGGGAGGGCATTGACTGGACAGGGACACAAAGGAACTTTCTGACGTGATGGAAATGCTTCTTTATTGATTTGGATATGCCTGTGTAAAGGTACATGTTTGTTAAATCACATCAAACTAACCATAAAATCTGTAAATTTTATTTTTATAAATAATACCTCAATTTTTAAAACTTGGACTTTAATATTTATTTTGTGAAATGAAAGAAATGGTATAGTTGGAGATGATAGTCCTGTCCACAGTGTTTTAAAGTTTTTAACTGCCTCACAAAAATCCATATTATAAAGAAAAATTGCAATCAGAGTCTTAATGCTAGTGTCTGTGTCTACATTGAATTTTCATATATTCAAAGCTGACAGTCTTTGATAGGTTGTATGTACTTTCTTCCTTAAAAAAAAAAAATCAAATTTTCCTGATGCATTAGCATGTCAAGATTTTACACATTGTTTCTCTGTAGAAAGTAATTGCCTCTTGATTCCTTCTGGCCTTTTTTCTTTTCAGACCAACAGAACTTTTCAGGAGTTGCAATGCTCAGTCAGATCAAGGAGCCATGAATGACATGAAGCTGTGGGAGAAAGGAAGCATAAAGATGCCATTTATCAACATACCTGTTCTTGACATTAAAAAGTGCCAGCCAGAAATGTGGAAAGCAATAGCTTGTTCACTGCAGATTAAACCTTGTCATAGTAAATCCCGGGGAAGTATTATTTGCAAGTAAGTTTCTTTCATCATAATGACTCTCTGGTTTTGGTTCAGACCTTTCATGATCTCTACCCACAGCCTATCTTTAGTTTTCTTTCCCACCACTTCCTTTTGCCCATCACCCCCACATGTTAAATGCTTTTCCTCCTCTGCTGAAAATACTCTTCCATCTCCACTCGCCCACCGCCTGTCCTTCTTAGCCCCTCTCAAATACCAGTCATTCCTATGGAATCTTCCCAGATTTCTCCAGCTGATAGTAATTTATCCTTACTACAAATTTCTGTGGACCTTTATTTGTACTTCTCTTATGGAACTTAGTTCAAGAAACATTGCATATCTTCAATGCACAATTCTATTTGTATATTTTAATTTGTGTACTTGTTTCAGATTCTGTTAGACCTTGCTCTCCTTGAGGAGTTTATTCTTCTTTGTACCTCTCTTTTCTTATCTCCTCTCTCCTCTTTTTCTCCTCTTCAGGGATTAGCATAATCCTAATATGCAATAGGTATTCCAAAAATGTTTGATGAGTGAAAGACTTAGTAAATATAGTCATTAGGGCCTGTTCCTAAAACATTTTGTGAATGGTTTGCTTAAGATCTAGGATAAAGTACAAGGACCTACTGTATAGCACAAGGAACTATACTCAGTATTTTGTAATAACCTATAAGGGAGAAGATCTGAAAAAGAATATATATATATATATATAAAGAAAAAGAATATATATATATGTATATGTATATATATAACTGAATCACTTTGCTATATCTGAAACTAACACAGCATTATAAATAAAACTATACTCCAATAAAAAATAAAATTTAAAAAAAGTAAATAGGAAGACAAGAAATAAAGGATCCAAGATAAAGATGAAAGCTGCTATGGTGGGTGAAACCAAAAGCATTAACTACATAGTAATCTGTGTCAGCTGCTCTTCAAGCATCTTTGTTTCCAAAACCAAGGTAATATCCAGCCCTTAAGGTGTTGGTATGTGGCTCAGTGCTGCTGGGCACTTGATGACTGACTGCAGATTATTTCAACCTTGAATAGGGTCCGGATCTGTTCTCTGACATGACTTGAGGGTGGCCTGAGTAGGGGAGAGATGAGGGGTAACTACTGGGTGACAAGACAGAGGCAACAAGTGGGAAATTTATAGACTCTTAGCACAGAAATTTTATAGATGTCAAATCCCTATTGAAGACAGAAAATTGTAACGTAGTGGATTTTCCAGTTGTTATAGGCCAAACACCTTAATGTTGATAACAAAGCAGATTTTTAAAAAGAGAACGGCAGGAAGGGAGTGATAGAAGAAGAAAGGAAGAAGCAAGCATGCATAAGGTCCTGAGACAATGTATGATTTTGCAAAGAGCAAATCGGATTAGCCTAGGTTCATTTCCTTTCAAAGACAGTGAACAGCCACACGGATGGTAGTAACAGTAAGTATGAGTGTAAAATTTGAGCAAGGCCTTTGATCCCAGGTCGGAGAAAGTTAGGCATGCTTTGATATGGTAATACATTACTTACTCCTCAACCTAATAAGGTCTGCTATCACCCCTATTCTCTTTTGTCATACTTACACCTATAAAGTGTGAAACATTGTTGAGTTATGAAAACTGAAACAGAATTGATACTGGCTAGACAACGTGAGGCAGTTCCTCAAACCCTAAATTTGTGTGTGTTTTCCTTTTTAAGATCAGATTGTGTGGAGATTCTGAAGAAATGTGGGGACCAGAACAAATTCCCTGAAGACCACACAGCTGAAAGTATTTGTGAGCTTCTGTCACCTACAGATGACCTGGAGAACTGTATACCTTTGGATACATATCTCAGTAAGTACTTCGGTTTTTTTAATTTCAAAGGCTTCTCCCTTCTGTCTCTGCCCTTGATGGTTGCTTTGGATGAGTATCATTCTGTTGAGAACATGTGGTTTAATGATACTACCTCAACTGCAGACTCTTATTTGCTTGGCCTCTTTGGCTCAGGAAAGAATTGTCATCTTTCTCTCTTTTCTTTTTTTAATTTTTATTGGAGTCTAGGTGATTTACAACGTTGTGTTAGCTTCAGGTATACAGCAAAGTGAATCAGTTATACATATACATATGTACACTCTTTTTTAGATTCTTTCCCATATAGGACATTACAGAGTATTGAGTAGAGTTCCCTGTGCTATACAGTAGGTCCTTATTAGTTATCTATTTTATATATAGTAGTGTGTATATGTCAGTCCCCCCCATCTTAAAATATGTACAGAGAAGCAATTATTATATCAGTCTGAGGAGGTAGTGAACTGTTATCAATCAGGAATTCGAAGTGGTGAATCAGGGGCCAGCATACTTGGATAACCAGCTCTTTATCATTGCCGTCTCCTTGCCATGATTTGACCAAGAAGTGGAATTTCCCCTAGGGATTCTTCAGCTTTCTGTCGTCGGAATATCAGTGGACCTGAGCCAGGTGTTGGCTTGGATTTATCCACCAAATAGGGGGTAAGGAATGATGGTCTGGGTTAGTTCATGAAAAATGGAATTTTTCTGTGCCAAATACTCCTGCCAAGAGCTAGAAGAATAAGTTGGTATCTTCTTGAGGGATTCTGGAGCTAAGTTTCCTGGCAGGAGGTGACTATGTGTGGTGGAAACCAGGGATTAACAAGTAGAACTCATACACACCATGTAGTTAGGGTAAGGGAAGTGTTTAGGCTGCCACCAGGGGGCATTAGTGCCATGAGCTAGCTGGAAAGGCAGTGAGTTCAGCTCCTGCTAGCTTTGTTTTCCTGTGTTAGAGAGGATTAAGTTCAACTGCAAATAACAGAACAGATAGAAGCAAAAGAAAGCCCGGAAGTAAATAGTCCAGGGCTGTTATAGTGGCTCCATCATCAGGAACCTAGCCTCCTTTTTCTTCCTCCACCGTCCTTAGTGCTTGGCTTCCATCATCAAGGTTACTCCATGTATTTATCGTCACAACATGACCACTGTAATTCTAGCCACCATATCCTAGTGTAAGGGAAAACCACCCCTAATTGTAAGGGAAACTGGGAGAGATGTTTTTATCCGTGGGCCCATTGCCATCCTGCTATATATAGCAGAAAATGTCTGCTATATTTTCTCAAGACAAACAAACTGTGTCCCTTAGCCTTAGTGACCAGTATAGAAAAAAAGAGAGCATTAGACTAGAATCATAGGCAGATCACTTCTTTGAGTCTCAGCTTCCCTATTTATAAAATGATTGGGCTGGATGAGATAAACTCCAAGAGCCCTCTACCTCTATTAGTCTTAGAGGGTGAGTCTGGCCTAAAATCAAGTAGGCAAAATGAATGTATTCACAATCCTGGATGCTATTAGAGCAGTCAAATATATGTGTAGAAGGAAACTTTTTCAGTGGGAGGAAACTTAAAGAAATGCTTTTGTTTAAATTTCAATACTCTTTTTAAATATCACACATATAGTTGGCCCTGCATATCCACAGGTTCCGCATTTGCTGATTGAAAATATTCGGAAAAGAAAAATTCCAGAAGGTTCCAAAAGGCAAAACTTGAATTTGCTGTACACCTGGCAACTATTTACATAGCATTTACATTTATTTACAACTATTTACATAGTATTAGGTATTATAAATAATCTAGAGATAGACTTCCCTGGTGGCACAGTGGTTAAGAATCCGCCTGCCAATGCAAGGATCACATGTTCGAGCCCTGGTCCAGGAAGATCCCACATGCCATGGAGCAACTAAGCCTGTGCACCACAATTACTGAGCCTGCACTCTAGAGCCCGCGAGCCACAGCTACTGAAGCCCATGTGCCTAGAGCCCGTGCTCCACAGCAAGAGAAGCCACCGCGGGCTTCCCTGGTGGCGCAGTGGTTGAGAGTCCGCCTGCCGATGCAGGGGACACGGGTTCGTGCCCTGGTTCGGGAAGATCCCACATGCCGCGGAGCGGCTAGGCCCGTGAGCCACGGCCGCTGAGCCTGCGCATCCGGAGCCTGTGCTCCGCAACGGGAGAGGCCATAACAGTGAGAGGCCCGCGTACAGCAAAAAAAAAAAAAAAAAAAGAGAAGCCACCGCAATGAGAAGCCCGCGCACCACAACAAAGAGTAGCCCCGCTCGCCGCAACTAGAGAAAGCCCGCGCACAGCAATGAAGACCCAACACAGCCAAAAATAAATAAATTAATTAATTAAATTAAAATAAATAAATAATCTAGAGATGATTTAAACTATACAGGAGAGAGTACTTAGGTTATATGCAAATACTATGTATGTTTTTTTTTTTATGGTTTTATTTATTTATTTATTTATTTATTTATTTTGCGGTACGCGGGCCTCTCACTGTTGTGGCCTCTCCCTTTGCGGAGCACAGGCTCCGGACGCGCAGGCTCAGCGGCCGTGGCTCACGGGCCCAGCCGCTCCACGGCATGTGGGATCCTCCCGGACCAGGGCTCGAACCCACGTGCCCTGCATCGGCAGGCGGACTCTCAACCACTGCACCACCAGGGAAGCCCCTGTATGCCGTTTTATATAAAGGACTTGAGCATCCTCAGTTTTTGGTATCCATGGAGGTCCTGGAACCAATCCCCCACAGATACTGAGGGATGACTGTATATTAAATGAGATTCTTCCTTGGTCATTGTTTAACAAGAAATATAATCATGGTATAGGGTCCATCTTACCATAATAAATTATCATCATTTATGGTGAAATGTGCTAAATTATCCCTCTTAGACATAAGCTATTTGACTACCTTATTCAAAATATACCTGTTACTTTCCATCCCCTTACACTGCTTATTATTTATTGTTATCTGACTTTTTATTTACATATATACACACACACACATACACACACACACACACACACACACACACAGTGTCTATTTATTGTCTATTTCCTGATCAGAATGTAAACTCTATGTTAGAGATTTGTCTATTTTGTTCACTACTGTATCTCCAGTACCTAGAACCTTGCCAGGTGTATTGTAGGCACCCAATAACTTATTTATAACAAATGAATGAATGTATGTTTATGCTAAATGCACAAATGATCAAGGAATCTGAGTATTTTAATAGCTTACTAGAATCAGTCCTCATGAGCTGTCCATTTGTTCCAGATGTCATTAACTCAGACAATTTACAGACCTCTGTTACTCTTTTGGGTTGGTTAAACTGATCTGTTTTTGTTTTTTCAGGACCAAGTACTTTGGGTAACATTGTAGAAGAAGTGACTCATCCCTGTAACCCAAATCCTTGCCCCGCTAATGAGCTCTGTGAGGTAAACCGGAAAGGGTGTCCATCTGGTGATCCCTGCCTTCCATACTCTTGTGTTCAAGGTAAGAGGTAGATGGGTGGGGTGTGGGGTGGGTATGAGTACGTGCCTCTGCTGTTTCTTCATAGGAGTTATCTTTGGAATGAGATTATTTTCTAAATTATGTTTTTCTATAATGTTCAAGGTTTTTCCAACATGTATTATTTATGTAAGCAGACAAAGACAAATGTAATTTTCAATAGTCATTTTGATTGTAACCTAATTTCAATCCAAAACCAGACTCTCATAACGAGTCATAGGGTTCTTGACAACAAAAGAAGAAAGACCCTTGGGCCAGCTTTTTGTACTTTGTCTTCTATGCTGTAATGTTTGAGAAGATGTACTGCACATTGTTCGTGTTTTTTCTTTTCTCTCCTTTAAAACATGGAGAAATAGCATTCTCAGTCGGATGTGTAATTATCTTCATAAATTCAATGTTGTGCTGAAATGCACATGATTTTAAGGCTGAAAAATTTTTATCCCATAGAATTTTTATGGTCTTTATCTCTCTGTGGGTCCCTTTAGAATATAGTTGCTTTCTTTTATCTATTTCCCAATTGAAAATGTTTCTTTATCATGTTAGAATCAACATTTTTAAACATGTGTGAAGTAAAAAGGAACAAAAGATTAAATAAGCATGATGTCTCAAAAGACCATGTATAATATTTGTGTAATGCTATAGTATATCAGCTATAGCATCATAATAAATCTTGTTAAATTTGGAAACAAATGGGTTTTCCTTAAGTCCAATCAAGTATTCAACTTTTCTTTGAATTTAAGATGTACTTGTATTCCATCACTAAAAGTTTTCTGACCAAGATTATTCTAAAACTAGTCAGTCGGCATACTCCATTTTAAAAATATCTGTGATTTTTAACATACATTTGATAAGCCTAAAGAAATAAAAAACTACATATCTGATAGCATTTTTGTACAGAACTATTGCTAACTTTGAGGTACATGTCCTTTAATCACCACCATCTCACAGAACATGGAATTTTTGTTTGAGAGGATATGTTTTTGGCCAGTGAACCAAAGCAGTTCCTTAGTTTAGTGAAAGTTCTATTACATAATCTTTAGTGGCCACACAGTACCTATAAGACTTGTGTGAAGTGTATCTAATGTCATAAAACAATATCGGAGAACAATACCAACTCTCACAGCTAATTTTGTCTATACAGGTTGCAAATTGGGCGAAGCATCTGATTTTATTGTCCGTCAGGGGACACTGATCCAAGTGCCATCATCTGCAGGGGAAGTTGGTTGTTATAAAATTTGCTCATGTGGGCAAAGTGGACTCTTAGAAAACTGTATAGAGATGCACTGTATAGACCTTCAGAAGTCTTGTATTGTTGGAGGAAAAAGAAAAAGTGAGTCTTGAACTGTTTTTGTTTTTAACATGAGATTAGTTATATTAATTTTGTAGGGAGAATATTGGATGGGTTCTCACCAGAAAGTAAAGTCTACAAAGCAAATATTCCAGGGAAGTATTTTTCAACTATACAGAACATGAGGACTTCTAAGGAACCCTCTTAGAAGCCTCATCAAGAAGGGACTAATAGCTAATAATAACCAACACTTGAACTCTTAACTGTGTGCCAAGCACTATGCTAAGTCTTGGCCTGTGTTATCTCCTTAAATCCTCCCAGTTGCTCTTTGATACGGGTGCTATTGTAAAGAAGCTGATGGTAAGAGAGGTCACCCACCTAGTAAGTGACCAAAGCAGAATTCAGTCCCAGGCCTATTCGACTCCAAAGCCCTTGCCCTCCACAGGCAAGGACACAGGTCTACCCCTCCCCACCCCTTCCTCAACAGTCTCTCTCCCCTCTGCCCCTTTCCCAGAAGTAAAACTCAGAGTTTGACGTTATGCAAAGCAAACTGGGGGATGGAAACTACACTGTTGATTCATGGTTGCGAGAGAGCACATTAAAAGGTGCCCTGCTTTATCGCCTTCTCTAAAAGTCTGAGAGTCTTGCTTTCTCACTGTTTCCTTAACCATCTTTTGCTTATAGCCCTAATAACTGTTCATATCAATATATAACCTCAAAAATTGTGAAAAAATACCACTTTTGAGAATGTGTTCCCCACTACACGTGCTCATTCTGCTACCCTTACCTCTATGTCCATCCCCCTACCCATCAACCAGAGTAGTTCAGCTTTCATATGCCTCTTGCTTTACTCTTCTGGGTGAGATTTTATTTTAAGAAGAGTACTCTTGGCTAAAAAGGGCTTGCAAATTTCTGCTTAGACCCGCAAGTCAGGTATTCATTGCTTAGTCCATATTCTAAAATGTAATGTATGTACCTTGAATCACAGAAAACATCTGAAGATAGACAAGTTCATTCCTTCCATAAGCTTTCATTGATTAAATGCCTATTCTCTACAAAAGAACATACTAGTGCCTTGTGGGGCTGAAACTGGGATGAGGGATTGAGGTCATGCTTTGCATGCTAAGATGGGAGAGAATTTGAGCCATAAAAAGGAGCAGACCAAATGTATGTACTTTAAGGAGCTAGTCATTTCTGCCAGGGCATCAGGAGAGTCTTCAACCCAAAGATGGCATCAGGACTGGTCCTGGAAAGATGAGTAAAGTTCCAGAAGGAGGAAAGGAGCGAGCACTTGAGGCAAAAGAGGTAGCCAGGAACATTCTCAGAGAATAAGGAGCAGTCTGGTGAGATGAGCACATTAGGGGTTTGGAGGGGTATGGTGGGAGGTAAATACAAATCTATAAGTATTACAACACTAACTACCTAGTTTGTGTACTCAGAAGTCATCTTTCAAGAATTTCTATCTTAAAGCTCTTTAAACTATTCAATTTTTTAATTTATGATTTATTTATAAATGCATTACATAGATCAACATTTTATTTCTCTTTCTCTCAGGTCATGGAACTTCTTTTAATATTGACTGCAATATCTGTTCTTGTTTTGCTGGTAATTTGGTGTGTTCTACCCGCCTGTGTCTCAGTGAGCACAGCTCAGAAGATGACCGTCGTACCTTCACAGGTAACCATGGTCACCCAGAAGCTGCCCTCATCCCTTTGTACTCATGTTCCCTTCAACGCAGCTTCTCTGGTCTTGCCTTAACTGCAAATTTTCACAGTAAAATTAATACATAACCTGAGAGCAAGGTACTTTCCTCTCTGGATCTGTTGCCTCCTCTATAAATTGAAGGCATTAAACTAAGTGGTTTCTTAGGGTCCTTTTAGAGTTCCATGAGTCAAAAAGAGCAGGGCCAGTGATTGGGATGGTTTTAGTTAAATGTAATTTTTCTACTTGCTAAAATACCCATTTATCCCTACCATTATGGTCTAAAGTGTCCATGTATTTTCTAAATTTGCTTCTGTTTTAATGTTTTTATTACCACCTTCTTTCTTGTCCTACCTTGTCTTACTGTATTCATATAGGTAGGGACCCCTATAAACAAAGCTATAGGTAGAAAAAATAAAGAGTGTTTCTCCCAATCTACTATATAAAATCTAGAAGTTAGATGTATCAAGTCTCGCTTGGGAGATTTCTGGAATGTTGAAGGGTGATAACAAAAGCAAGACAAAGACAAAGGTTGTAAACGCCTTACATAGATTCCTTCCATTCATATCTCCTTAGGGATGGGGAAAAACAGGAAAGTAACTCAGGAAATTATTGTAATTTTGAAACTTAAGAATTTTTGTGAACAATCGGTCAAGAATACGACTTTCTTGACTTTCCTTTGCTTTATGCTGCTGGTATTATGCTCACACCAGCTGCAATAAGTGAAAAACCTAGCTCGATGGGATGCTCTTTTCTTGAGAAGAAGCTACGGTTGTCAACAGCAACAGCACAGTGGCTGGCATCTGCTGGTATCTGCTTTTTCCCAAATCTGAAATACCTTTGGTTCTGGGTGAAGAGGAACCAGGTAGCTGCCCTTACTCCATTTCTTGCTGCTGCACCAGCAGCTTGATTCTCCTTCCATGGAGTTGGTATTACACATGGAGTGGGGTAGGAAGAGAACAGAATAGGGTTTTACCAACCTTGTATCTCCAGCCCATTGGAAATAAAAAGGAGATCAGAAATAAGAAGTGAACGGCAGACTGATGAGGAAGTAGAGGCAGGACTAGCTCCACCCCATCCTCTATCCACCCTAATGAGTACCAGCCTTTGCTGCTTTATTCTTCTGTTGTTGTTGTCCTTTATTTTTATCCTTTGTCTGCTTTGTCTGATGAGGACAATTCATTCTGCTTAGAGAAACAGTTAAAATGATGTGGGGATGAAAAATGAACTAAGGATGTACACGGAAGACTTTTATTTATTTACTTACATCTAAGTTGAACTTTACAACTAGCAGGATGCTTTTTCCCTGTAGTGTGTAGCCCCTCGTGTCCTGGGATAAATTACATTAATGACTATTTAGCTAGCAGACTCTAAGGAGATTTTACTGGCCACAAAGTATACCACATTTTGGGGGACTCAGAGAGTGCCCCAGTCCACACAGGACTCAGAAGGAGATGTTCATGAAAATTCTTAAGTCTCAAGTTACAATAATTTCCCAAGTTACTACCTTCTTGTTCTTCCCCCTCCCTAAGGAGATGGAAGCAACCTATGTGAGGCATTTACAACCTTCATTATTTGTCTTGGTTTTGATATTATCCTTTAACATTCTAGAAATCCCCTAAGCCAGAATCAAACATCTAAATTTCAGATTTTATATACCAGATCGGGAGAAACATTCTTTACTTTTCCTACCCATAGCTCTGTTCGTCTCTACCCCTGGAATCAAGATCTGGAGGCCCTCAATTAGCTGGCAATAAATGGAACAAAGGAAAGTCATTATGCAGACAGATGGCTTTTCAGAACCTTGCCACCTTTAAAAACACTGTCAGAGATTGGAAGGATTTTTTTTCTGACTTATTAAAATTGTATTTTAACCTGAGACCTCTGCGTGCTTGTTAGTGGTTTGCCTTAATTAGGAAACATGAGGGGAAGGGGACCGTACAAATGCACATTGTTGAGGCACTCTCCTCCCTTCAGGTCTGCCCTGTAACTGTGCAGATCAGTTTGTCCCTGTGTGTGGGCAGAATGGACGCACTTACCCCAGTGCCTGCATTGCTCGCTGTGTGGGCCTCCAAGACCATCAGTTTGAGTTTGGATCATGCATCTCAAAGGATCCATGTACTCCTAACCCCTGCCCAAAAAACCAAAGGTAAGTCAAATGCCTCCTTATCTTTTTCAACTGAAGGTCACCACTTACTCTATACCAGACAGTGAAAATACAAAGATGAACTGAGGTGGTCTCTGCCCTGAAAAGTTGGAGTCTAGAGGGAAAGATCCAGGTAAAGCTGCTTGGTAACATGCTTTGATTGGGGGCCCAGAAGTTGAGCAGTTTACACAGCCTGGGGGAACCTGGGAAAGCCTCTAGAGCATGTGACAGTCGGCTGGAAAAACGAGGAGGAGACTGACAGCAAGGTTTACGGTGGAGGAAAGGTGGTGCTGGTGAAGGCAGAGAGAGTAACAGGAGCAAAGCTCTTGGCTGCTGGAAACGAGGAGAGAGCGTGGTGTATGCCGGGAGCTAGAGCAGTTTTGTAAGACTGGAACAAAGTGTGAGGCAAGGAGAGGTGGCAGTTGAGACAAGAGAAGCAGATGCATTCTTGTTACTAGCTACTTACGCCTGATGGCAATAGGAAACATTCTACTTAAAACCTACCTCCATTGTAGGGATGGGACATGAGAAATCTCTGGAAGTGTAACTTCAGTATTTTATGAAGTTGTTTAGGGGCTCCTTTCTCTGCATTTTCCTCAGGAGCTCAGAGTGCAGTTGACCTTGCCTTAATGATGGATTTCTGTCTGTGGTGGCTGCAGGATGAGGGTCCTGATGATTCACTTAGGTTTCAAGCTTCTAGAACTGGAGTTTTCACTGACTACCTCAGAGAGCTGAGCAGGACATGTCCCAGTGCCACAGTCCTTGCCTTATGAAGGTTTTGTGGAGAGCAAGCAACTGCTTCTCCATCCTGAAAATCCTGGTGCAGCATGAAGGGAAGGAAAGATTTTCTCGTGTGTTAAATTTATTTTAACAAGTTTAAATTCTCTTTTAGCAAAGAGAGTTGGTCACCCATCTAGCAAAGTTTACATCATGAAAACTAAGCCCAGAGAGTTGCTATGGAAAGAAGACAGGGTGCTATACATAAAGAAACATGATAAAGAAATAAGTCAAAAGGATAATATAGTTGTGTTGGGAGGTAGAATTGAGGGTTGCTTTGGTATTTGTTTGTTTCCCTCTATTTGCTAACCTTTCTGAATAAGGTTGGCTTGCTTTTATAATAAAACAATAAAATCTCAAAGTGGAAAGGGCTGGCTGGGTATAATACAAAATCAATATAAAAGAAAAGTTTGAAAAATGCAGCTACATGAAAATGAAAATTTTCTGCATGGTAACAAACAAATGACAAACTGAGAAGAATCTCAGAGAAAGGGCTGATGTCCTTACAATATAAAGAACCCCTACCAATCAATATGAAAAAGATGAACAACCTAGTATAAAAATGGGCAAAGATCAATAACCAATAGAAAATGGACCAAGGATGTAAACATAGGAGAAGAAGTACAGATGGTTCTTAAACACTTGAAAAGATGCTTATATTAGCTGGCGGGGAGTAACTCTAGCTACTGTATACAAAATATCAGTGCTTTAACATAGTAGAAGTTCAAATACAGTCCATTTGGGTGTTCAGCAGGTGGCTCTCTACATGTGATTCAGAGACTTAGGATCCTTCCATCTAGCAACTCTGCTCCTACAGCCTCTAGTCCTCCTCTGTCCAGCAGACAAGAGAAGGGAGATGATGGAGGTTGCTCTTGAGAAGCTTTTATAGGCCAGGTTAAAAATTCATCTCTACTTCCAGCCACACTCCATTGTCTAGAACTTAGTCATTTGGCCAGAACTACTGCCAGGGAGGCTGGGAAATGTAGTCTAGATGTATGCCCAGGAAGAAAATTAAATGAATTTGATGAATGATCATCTAGCCAATCTACCACAATGCTTAACCTTTCTCATATTAAGAGAAATGTAGGGCTTCCCTGGTGGCGCAGTGGTTGAGAGTCCGCCTGCCGATGCAGGGGACACAGGTTCGTGCCCCGGTCTGGGAAGATCCCACATGCCGCGGAGCGGCTGGGCCCGTGAGCCATGGCCGCTGAGCCTTCGCGTCCGGAGCCTGTGCTCCGCAGCGGGAGAGGCCGCAGCGGTGAGAGGCCCGCGTACCACAAAAACAAACAAACAAACAAAAAAAAAAAAAAAAGAGAAATGTAAATTAAAGTAAAACTACAATTGTGTACCATTTTCTGTCTACCAGATTGGTAAAGGTAAAAAGTTTGATAACAAAATGTAGGGAAGTAGGCACTCCCATACAAGAGGATTTTGGGGTGAAGATTGGTACATCCTCTTTGGAGGGCAATTTGTCCAAGGCTACCAAAATTTTAAATGCACATACTTTTTGAGTCAGCATATATAAATGCTTATTCTTATATAAAATATCTCTGGAAGAATAAATAAGAAATTGATAATAATGGTTGCCTCTGGAGAAAGGAATTAGGTGGCTGGGACACAAGGAGTAGGAAGGAGATTTACTTTTCACTGTATATGATTTTGTGTCTTTTCACTTTCTACATGGGCTTGTATTATCTGTTCAAAAACTAATTGTTTAAAAAACAAAAAGTTGAGAATAAATAAATAAATAAAGTTATAGTCATTCATCAAGTATCTAGGCATCTTTCTAAACACTAGGACGCAATTGTAAGCAAGACAAAGTCCCTGCCCTGATCGTGTTTATTTTAATTTACCCCCCAGAGTCTCAGCCTTTCCTATTGATCCTCTTATTTCTGTACGTTCATATTGGTAATGTTTTTCCTTCCAAAATTACCAAATTTCTCCTGATATTCTTTGTTCTCTTTCCTTCAATGTTAATAGATAATGAAGTTCTAAATGTTCTTCTTTTTCATTATTTCTCTTCAAATGTCTTAAATTTCTGTAAAATTATTACTACATGCATTCTAATTTCTTTCTTCTAGTTTTATTGAGATAGAATTGACATATAGCACTATATAAGTTTAAGGTGTATAGCACAATTATTTGACTTACATGCATCATGAAATGATTACCACAATACGTTTAGTGAATATTCATCATCTTATATAGATACAAAATTAAAGAAATAGAAAAAAGTTTTTTTCCTTGTGCTAAGAACTCTCAAGATTTATTCTGTTAACTTTCATATATAGCATTCAGCAGTGTTAATTACATTTATCATGTTGTACATTACATCTCTATATTATAACTAGAAGTTTGTATCTTTTGACTACCTTCATCTAATTCTCCCTCGCCTCACCCTTTGCCTCTGGTAACCACAAATCTGATCTTTTTCTATGAGTTTGTTTGTTAGTTTTGAAGTATAATTGACCTACAACTCTGTGTTAGTTCCTGGTATACAACATAGTGACTCAGTATTTCCATACATTTTGAAATAATAGTTTAGTTACTGTCTTCCATCATACAAGGATATTATTGTACGTAGTTATCAACTATATTCCCCATACTGTACATTTAATACCTGTGATTCCTTTATTGTGCAACTGAAAGTTTGTACCTCTTAATCTCCCACACCAATTTCTCTCCTCTCCCCACTCTCCTCCCTCTGGCAACCACCCGTTGGTTCTCTGTATCTATGACTCTGTTTCTTTCATTATGTTTGTTCATTTGTTTTGTTTTTTAGGTTCCACATATAAGTGAAATCATACAGTATTTGTCTTTCTCTGTCTGACTTATTTCACTTGGCATAATACCCTCTAGGTCCATCCGTGTTGTCACAAGATTTCATTCTTTTTTATGGCTGAGTAATATTCCTGTGTGTGCGTGCGTGTGTGTGTGTGTGTTTGTGTGTGTGAGCGCTCGCACACACACAAAGTTTCCCTTTCCCTACATCCTCACCAAGACTTATTTGTTGTCTTTTGGATAATAGCCATTCTGACAGGTGTGAGATGATATTTCATTGTGATTTGACTTGAATTTCCCTGATGATTAGTGATGTTGAGCATCTTTTCATGTGCCTGTTGGCCATCTTTATGTCTTCTTGGGAAAATGTCTATTCAGATCCTTGGCCCATTTTTTGATTGGCTGTTTGTTTCTTTTGATGTTGAGTTGTATGAGTTCTTTGTATATTTAGGATATTAACCCCTTATCAGATATATCGTTTGCAAATATCTTCTCCCATTCAGTAGGCGGCCTTTTGATTTTGTTGATGGTTTTCTCTGCTGTGCAAGAGCTTTTTAGTTTGATGTAGTCACATTTGTTTATTTTTGCTTTTGTTTCCCTTGCCTGAGGAGACATATCTAAAAAATATTACTAAGACTAATATCAAAGAGCATACTGCCTATGTTTTCTTCTAGAAGTTTTATGGTTTCAGGTTTTACATTTAAGTCTTCAATCCATTTTGAATTTATTTTTGTGTATGGTGTGAGAAAGTAGTCCAATTTGATTCTTTTACATGTAGTTGTCCAGTTTTCCCAACACCATTTATTAAAGAGGCTGTCTTTTCCCCATTGTGTATTCTTGCCTCCTTTTTCATAGATTAATTGCCCATATAAGAATGGGTTTCTTCCTGGACTTTCTATTCTGTTCCATTGATCTATGTGTCTGTTTTTGTGCAGTACCATACTGTTTTGATGACTGTGTAATATAGTTTGAAATCAGGGAAAGTGATACCTCCAGCTATGTTCTTCTTTCTCAAGATTGTTTTGGCTATTCAGGGTCTTTTGTGTTTCCTTACAAATTTTAGAATTATTTGTTCTAGTTCCATGAAAAATGCTATTGGTATTGTTATAGGGATTGCATTGAATCTGTAGATTGCCTTGAGTAACATGGCCATTTTAACAATATTAGTTTTTCTAATCCATGAGCATGGCATATCTTTCCATCTTTATGTGTCATCTTCAGTTTATTTCATCAGTGTCTTATAGTTTTCCAAGTACAGGTCTTTTACTTCCTTAGTTAAATTTATTCCTAAATATTTTATTCTTTTTGATGTGATTGTAAATGGGATTGTTTTCTTAATTTCTCTTTACGTGCATCCTAATTTTAAATCCCATCAGAAGAGGCAACCACGTTAGTAGTAGTGATGGTGGTGGTGGTGATTTCAGTGCAGGAAGCTTATCTCTAAAAAGAATAGAAGTAATTTCCTTTGAAATTATATGATGCTAGCTAATATATTCTTCTCCTTTTACTTTATAGACTAATATTTGTGTATCTTATTATTTCAAATACCCAGTAAAAGCTAAACATTTTCGTAGGTCTTACCTTGTTATAGAAAATTATAAATACCCTTTATAGAAATGAGGGAGGGGGTATTGAGAACGGAGCAAGGTTCAGGTATTACTAGGAAAACCCACCTTCAGGGGGTGGCATTCTCTCAGTGATTCACTACCAGCCAGCATCAGGTCCTCAGCCTTGTAAGCACAGAAACCTGAAATTTTCAGCACATACTGTGAAGCCTTCTCTTAAGATAGACTCATATTAGCCAAGCTGATAATTAAGCCTCTGAAAATGCTCCATTTATTATTAACGAGAAGGCCTCCAAGATTGGGCCCCAGCCCATTTGATGGCTTCATATCATGCCTCTTCCACCCCAAGCATACTTTGCTCCTGCTCTCGGGGTCCCCTGCCCTCTCCCCCAGCACCACAGGGTTTCAGGCATCACACCTTTGCTCTGCTGCTCCCTCAGCCTGGCAGGCCTTCATCCTCCTGGTTCTACCTCCTCCCGGTGCTTTCTCCAGGCTCCCCAATCAGAATGACTCATTCCCACGATCACTTGGTGTGTGATTTTCTACCTGATAGCCTGCTTTACATGCACACTCGACTCCCCACTCTCCATAAGCTCTTGGGCACAGGGACTGTTTCTGATTGCTCTCTTACTTTCTCCTCAGCCTCCTGTGCCCCGTCAGTGCTTTGCCGGCCCCACCATGGTCCCTTACGACACTGGCTCATGGTGCTGCGTTTGTGTTTTTCAGATGCATACCCAAACCACAAGTCTGCCTGACAACTTTTGATAAATTTGGATGTAGCCAATATGAGTGTTTGCCAAGACAGCTCACCTGTGACCAGGTCCGAGATCCTGTTTGTGATACAAACCACATGGAGCACAGCAATCTCTGCACTTTGTACCAGAGGGGGAAGAGCCTCTTATACAAAGGCCCATGCCAGGTACCACTGTCTACCTGACAAACCCAAGTACACTGAGCATGAAATCAGCTTATGATCTTTTACACATGAATCAGCAGTGAGACCCCTTCAGGGTCTGCTGTGGATCCCGTCAAATCTAGAGCGCTCAGTCCTCCACCAAAAATGAGCCATCCCGAGGCTGGCTTTTCCTCCTAACACTGGAGGGCCCCCTTGCTCATGTGTGAACCTTTGCACATCTAGTGTACAGAGCAAGAAGAGGGAGGCTTCTTGCCGCCAACCATTAGGAAAAGAATTTAAAGTCTCACACCCCTGGCACTGGTCAGCAGCATCTTCACTTCCCCTAGTTCTGTGGGCCCTCATTAGAAAACAGCCCAGGAAGGATGCGAGGTAAAACCACGAAGAAAAGAGCTCTTTCCCCACTCTTCCCACTGAAGTCCCACCTGAGGTATGAAAAGTGACTGAAAATTTCTCTGAAACTTAATGTTGTCTTACATCAGTTTATCTTTCAGTCTTTGAGGGTCGTGAAATCTGTATTCATGTTAAAAATAACCCCAAGGACAACCCCACTGAGGCCTCCCACAGTACCACTGATCTATGGGCTGGGCCCTCTGCCTGGGGGAAGCCCAGCCTTGGGCCAGCACCCCCTGCCCACAGCTGGCTGACACCAGACATGCTGGCTGCTCATTTCCTGGTCTTCATTGTTGGAAAATCCCTTCTGGTCATCCCCCTGGGCTTGTTTCCCCTCAGAGATCATGTTCCAAGTGCACTACCTTTACTCTGAATTCCCAGTCTTCTCTTCCTGTTGTTCCCTGTTCCTGGCTTCAAGTTTTCGCTTCCATGTTCCTAACCTACCTCATGGAGCCAGTCTGTCTGCTCTCCTGATCTCTCCACTCTTCCCTCTCCTTATCCCATACCCAGCGTGAAATGATAAGGCCTCTGAATTTGCATGAAGATTGGTCTTGTTTTCTTCTAACAGGTTCTTCTGGAATAATGGAAGTCTGGAGGGAGGGAGGATTTTTATCTCATATCAGTTCATAGAGAATGAGTACCCAAGTCCCAGAGAGGCTGAGAAAAGTAATCTCTTCAATTCATCTTGGGACAGCCCTATTGCCCCCAGCCCCACCCCATGTTTAGCAACCTCAGGAGCTTACTTCAGAGGGTCCAAGAATTTATACTGTCTTTCTTCCTTCCTGAAAATAGGGAGACCTACTCTGCACTCTTGGTTAGGAAAAGTGCACCACAGAGGTTTACCGGCTAACTGTGCTTTCTTGCCCTCAGCCCTTCTGCAGAGCCCCAGAGCCCATTTGCGGGCACAACGGGGAGACCTACAGTAGCGTGTGTGCTGCCTACTCGGACCGGGTGGCGGTCGATTACTATGGGCCCTGCCAGGCCGTCGGGGTCCTCTCTGAGCACAGTTCTGTCACTGAGTGTGCTGCTGTGAAGTGTCCTTCGCTCTCAGCGACCGAATGCAAACCCATCATCCCACCTGGTAGGCTGGCAGTATTTGGGGTGGGGCAGGGGTGGAATTGGGAGGATTTGCGTATCTGTCTCCAGAGAGTGAGTCACTGAGAAGAGAGATGACTAGTGTGTTTAAACTTTTCAGAAAGTCTTGACTCCAGCTGACGCTGATTAGATGCATTACTCTGGGCCAACCTTAAAAAGCTGTGGGTCTGCCTTAGACATCATCTGGTCTGGCGATTTTAAAACAATGTGGAAAACTTTTTTCAATCCTGCCTTAAACACCAATAGATAAACAGCAGTATTTAATTGCTAGAATTATGGTTATTAGTTCAAATGCATAGTGTTTGCATATTATAAAGTTAATGAATAAGGAATTGGTTACTAATGAATGAATAATTGAAGTAGTTTTGATGAACACAAACATTTGAAACTGAGAAAAACAGAAGATGGTTGTTGTCTTAGATTGGCCTTAGCATCTAATTTAATTGTTTTGGTTGCATATAATCAAGAAAGTCTTGTTTCGTACAGGCTATTATAAGCGGTGACAGTTTTCAATCAGCTTACCTTACAGTCTCTTACTCTTCGGTTAAACAGAGGTGTTAGAAGAGACTTTATCCCAAGTCTGCACAGAACAGATTAACCTGGAGTCTAACAAGTTCATTCCTCTGTCCATGAACTCAGCAAATGTTTCTTGAGCTTCCACTATGTCCTAAACACATTCTAGGCACTGGGGACACAGCAGTGAGCAGAACAAAGCCTCTTTCCTCCTGGAGACCACGATCTGACATTTTATTATGGTCTAACAGTTTAAAATAATTTTTAAAATTAAATTTGAATTAAACACTCATGGAATCCCTGAAACACTTGCTCCTGTGTTTCGCAGACAGGAAACACTTGCCCGGGATCACGCAGTGAGTTCTGAGCAGGGCAGGGTCTAGGCCCCGCCTGTCTTGAAAGGCCAGCTCTCCCTGTGCTGTATTAAACCACAGCTGCCCCACCTGAGAAGTAGCACAGGAGGAAAGCAGGGATGGAGGAAGGATTTCGGTAAATGTATAGAGTATAAGACTCCAGGTTGGTCAGGGAACATATCTAAAAGTGCAGTCATCAGGAAGGACTGCTGTGACTTTCCCAGCACAAAATGAAGGACTGGTCATTTCACCAACTATTATGAATCCTCTTTGTTTCTAATTCTGAACACACATAAAATGGTTTCTGTTATACAGGTGCTTGTTGCCCGTTATGTGCTGGGATGTTAAGAGTTTTATTTGACAAAGAAAAACTGGATACTATTGCTAAGGTAGGTTGCTTTATGTGCCATGTACTGTTGAAACCTTATCTATAAACCTGTCAGTAGTCGTACAGACAGAATGAGTCATGTCATTTATAGATGAAGAAACTAATTTGCACAGGAGCAACTTGCCCAAGGCCGTATAGTAGCTCACAACTAGGAGAACTGGGGTTTGAACTCAAGGTGTCTGGCTCCGTCCTGTGCTCCTTCCCTCTACAGCCTGGCTGTGTGGTGACCTTGCTCTGCAATCCATCAGCCCGGGCCTTTCTCAGAAAAGGTCCCCTGCCGGCATAGTGGAGGCAGATGAGGCAGCCAGGGACTGGTCACGCCCAGATGGTCTCAAGGTTGCCAGCCCTCACATGGTCCCCATGCCGCCGGGGGCTGCGTCCAGAACCGGCCACATTCCTCTGATGGTTTTGCCTCTTTCCCTTTGCTGTATCATCACTTTTTCTGCTTGCTGTTTTAGAGACTCGTCTCTAGAAATGTAGCAGCCAACACCTGCCACTACCTAGAAAATTATGTCCATTTCTATGAAAACACCTGTATTTTTACAGGAAGGCTTTAATTATTTTCCTGTGGCATCCAACTCAGAACTGTCCCTTAAAAAAGTGCTCCTGGGGGCTTCCCTGGTGGCACAGTGGTTGAGAGTCTGCCTGCTGATGCAGGGGACACGGGTTCGTGCCCTGGTCCGGGAAGATCCCACATGCCGCAGAGCGGCTAGGCCCGTGAACCATGGCCGCTGAGCCTGCGCGTCCGGAGCCTGTGCTCCGCAACGGGAGAGGCCACAGCAGTGAGAGGCCCGCATACCGTGAAAAAAAAAAAAAAGTGCTCCTGGGGCTTCCCTGGTGACACAGTGATTGAGAGTCCGCTTGCCGATACAGGGGACACGGGTTCGTGCCCCGATCCGAGAAGATCCCACATGCCGCGGAGCGGCTGGGCCCGTGAGCCATGGCCGCTGAGCCTGTGCGTCCGGAGCCTGTGCCCCGCAGTGGGAGAGGCCACAGCAGTGAGAGGCCCGCGTACCAAAAAAAAAAAAAGTGCTCCTCGTGAGAGTGTTTATCTCAGCCAGAAAACTCAGCAGTCAGAAAAAAAAACAACAAACCCGTTGGAATGGGCTCTGTGGATATTTTAGAATTCAGCCAGCAAGGCCCTGTTGGGGCCCCGCACTGAGGGGTTCCTTGGTTAAAAGAGCCTCTGTGGCTTAGGCAAGGTGGCAAGGCAGCTTAGGCAGTAATAGGGAATTCTTCTTTTTTTCAGGTAATGAATTTTTTTCTCTCTCTAGGTGGCAAACAAAAAGCCAATAACCGTTCTGGAAATACTTCAGAAGATCCGCATGCATGTGTCTGTCCCACAGTGTGACGTATTTGGATACTTCAGCATCGAATCAGAAATTGTGATCCTGATCATTCCTGTGGATCATTATCCAAAAGCTTTGCAGGTGGGGTTCAGCACATGTTGTGCAAGCATCCTGATACTTTCAAGTTTGGAGGACTTGGGAGGGGGTGAGAGCAGGAGGAAGGAAAGCATGGCAGTCTCTGAGGGGCGGAGCTGCACTAGGTTAGCAGTGGCCAACAGAACGCAAAGGAGTGGGAGAGGGCAGAGGTTGAGATGCTGTGACTCAGAGCGTGCAGAGATGGAAGGCATCTGCTCATCATCCAGACGAGGAGGCGGCTGAGGCCCAGGGAAGGCAGGGACTGACACAGGTCACGCAGTAACAAAGCCAGAACGGACTCCTGTCTCCCGAGGGCTGTGCCCCCACTGGGGAGGAGGAGCCCACCAGCGCTGGTCTTATGGGCCAGCTCACAATCTAGAGGTGAACTTCACTCAGGAGGCCCAAGTTTCAGTGTCAACATAGTGAGGGCTCCAGTGAAGGGGGTGAATACAGCCGTTTATAAACTGCCACAGTTAGGAAGCTCATTAAGTCTAATTGCTTTCCTCCTGATGTGTCGGTAGGCATTGAAAGGCCACTCCCTGTGGCTATGTTTAAGCTTGAAAAGATAACTTCTAAGCATGGAGAAGGGGTGAACAGGATTGTGGGAAAAGAAAGGGCAGTGGCAGTGTGGGTCATGGCTTTTTTCATTTGATTTCCATTGATGCAGTTATTTTTTGTGTAATAAATTGAGACTATTAAAATGTTACTTTGGCTAAGAAAAGAAGGACAAAGAGAAAGCGTATTCCTGGTGTTAGGATATTTGTGGAATTTGTCTGACTTGACCTTTTCATGGATTCTGTGATTTTATATTAAAAGAATCTGATTATCCTCTCCCAGATTGAGGCTTGCAATAAGGAAGCAGAGAAGATCGAATCCCTTATCAACTCCGACAGCCCTACTCTGGCGGCCCACGTCCCTCTGTCCGCCCTCATCATTTCTCAGGTGCAGGTCTCCAGCAGTGTGCTTTCGGCCGCTGCCAGGGCCCAGCCTCCCTGCCACTCCCACCTCTTCCTCCTCATCCTGGGTCTCGCCTTGCATAGGGTCTGGACACACAACTGACTGCCCATGAAAAGTGCAAAATATTCCTCGATCTAATCTTTCTACTTTGGAAAAGACGTACAGGACTGCTGGTTTATAGTTGAATAGTGGCCAAGTCAAAGCACTTGTCACCTCTAACCTCTATGCACCACACAGTATTTATAATCATCAGTGTTAGTAAGGGTTTTGTTTTGTTTCTACAAATGTTACAATACGTTCTTCCAAATACTAATGAAAAGAGGATGTCTCCTTCTGGCAGATCACTGCCTTACAATTTACATTTTGCTCATTAGATGGGTCCCCCACTCTAAAACAAATTCTATATCATTGGTAAATGAGATGATCACATTGTAGAAATATAACTCACTTTACTGTGGGCTTCGTATCACAAAAACTTCATTTCCAAGTTCTTTTTAGTATTAAAGTGCCCCTAGAGTGTGTGTTTGTTTACAAATATTCCCTACTCTGTCTAGAAGTGAGGGGTCAGAGCAAAGAGCCACTGCTATTAGAGTATGAAATAAAGATAAGGCATCTTTGGAATTATCATATAAATCATCAGGCAAATTTAATTTACAGAAATCTAATTCAGGAATCCATTTAATGTGGTAAGCAAAAGCAAGCTAAGTAAATGGCACTCATATAATATATTGTAAGTGACAGTCTCAGTGGTTCCTAATGTGTGTCTGTGACTTTTGTGAAAGGGAGAAGTTATATCCCATCAAGGCGACTTGTATTATGCATTTTTATATTAACCAGATGTATATTCTTTGGTATCATCCAAGTTAAATTTAGAGTTTTTAAAGATCGACCTTTAAACCAATTGCTGCTACTTATGTAATTGCCAAAAAGTGAAATAATTAGTAGTTCGTGTAAATAATACATGATTTTTCTATTTTATTATGAAGGTGAATAGCCATATTTGTAAAATGACAATCATGTGTGTTAACCCAGTACTTTCCGTTCATGAAGACACATTTGCTTTTTGTGATATGCACAGTGTAGATAAGTGTTCTGTTTGACTTTCTTTTTTGATATAGAATTATAAAGAATTGTGGTTTATATATTTAAAAGTGTCAATCTAAGTTTGAAAATGTTTGCATGTTGTCTAAGAAATTGAATACTTTGAATGTGTTTCACAGTTTGAAATAAGCTATTCAGTGTAATACTTCTTGTTTATATGCACCTAAGCTTAGATTTTACATGAAGTGTTTTTTTCAGTGTTATATGTACCTTCTGAAAAATATAGGGATATGCATATTATACCAAAATGTTGTTTAAAAGTGGGCACTTAGGGCTTCCCTGGTGGCGCAGTGGTTGAGAGTCCGCCTGCCGATGCAGGGGACACGGGTTTGTGCCCCGGTCCAGGAAGATCCCACATGCCGCGGAGCGGCTGGGCCCGTGAGCCATGGCCGCTGAGCCTGCGCGTCCGGAGCCTGTGCTCCGCAACAGGAGAGGCCACAACAGTGAGAGGCCCGCGTACCACAAAAAAAAAAAAAAAAAGAAAAAAAGTGGGCACTTAAAGCTTTCAAAATTTCTCAGTGGTGATGTAGCATGTTTGTTGCAATTGCTTTTTCTATATAAATGTCTTCAATGCAATATACTGGAAAGCTTTTCTATTTTAATAAAATAATTTTATATGATTATGTGTATTTCCAAGCAATGTGCACATTTTAAATGAAACCACTGATCACTCTTGGGCAAGCTATGTCCTTTGCTTTGGAATAAGAAGTTATGGGAGTGTTATTACTCCAAACCTGGGAAAGTGGAGCAGATGAAACAGAGCTGGTCAGAGCAGACCCAGGCATGACCAGAGGCCAGGCTGTGGCAGAAAGTCAAGTACAAAGACTTTAGGTCTTCAGGACAGAGAGAGCTTCAGGCCCTCCAAGACCAGGAACAGACTAGGGAGTTCTACTCCCCACTGCCTCGGCCCCATATTCCAGCCCCAGGATATGTCCTGGGAAAAAGGGAACTGGTCAGCAGGCCCGAAAGGTTCTGTCAGTCAGCAGAGGCTAAAGCCCCAAACCTCCATCTTGCTCCCATCACATGTCTGCTGTGGGTCAGTTGCGCTTCTTCGCTATACTGTCTTCGCTTCTGGACCCACCCAGTGTCCTCACAAAGAGAAGAAGGAGACGAAGAAAACCACAACTGGCCCTTAGGTCTCTGCTCAGAAGTGACACTGTCGTTTCTGCCTATGTCTTACCAGCCCAAGCAAGTCACTCCCGAGTTCAAAAGGTAGGGATTTATCGTCTTCTGGTGTGTGTGTGTGTGTGTGTGTGTGTGTGTGTGTGTGTGTGTGTGTGTTGGCAGGAGGCAGTAGGGAAGGAGCTGGGGGCGGGACCATGAGTATTTTGAACAATGATACAGTATACTGCAGAGGCCCTTTCTCATCAGGATAGGACAATAGCCAGGACTGACTAAATTTCTTATTATAAAATCAGTAGAGGGGCTTCCCTGGTGGCGCAGTGGTTGAGAGTCCGCCTGCCGATGCAGGGGACATGGGTTCGTGCCCTGGTCTGGGAGGATGCCGTGTGCCACGGAGCGGCTGGACCCGTGAGCCATGGCCTCTGAGCCTAGGCGTCCAGAGCCTGTGCTCCGCAACGGGAGAGGCCACAACAGTGAGAGGCCCGCATACTGCAACAACAACAAGAAAAAAAGCAGTAGAATGAGAGAGGTGCTTGGGTTTGGGGGAGAGGGAATATCAAGGGAGGAAAAGATCTAAAGGTTGGTCCTGCCCTGAGGACACAATCACACAATTATGAGAACTCTGACGATAGATAGTCACTGACCAAACAAGCCCAGTGCTGGTCAATTCAGGAGATGGTGCTCCTCACTGGCCAGTGGCTGTGGTGATCACAGCCAGGCTGCCTCATGGACAGGGTGTCAGTGGCTTCCTGGCCTTGAAGCAGGACAGAGCCCCTGCTGGTTGGCTCTGCCCAAGTGTGTCAGGCAGGCTAGCAGAGACCCTGCGGGAGTCAGAGGGGCTGTGGGAGAGAGAGAAATGAGGCCCATGTGCCCCTGTAATTCTGCCAGGGCTTAGTAGTGGGGTGGGGGCCTGGAAGTCCAGGAGAAAACGGTTCTGCAGGATGGGGACAGTTTAGCAGGTGAGGTAACTGCATGAAAAGGGGACTCCAGAGAAAGATTCAGAGGCTCCTATGGCCATGGATGATGAGGCCAAGTCTCTAGGAAACAGATGAGATGGCCCCCTATCCAGCCTACAGGAAGTAATTGGACAGGAATGGACCCTAGGAGAGTCATAGGCCTGGCCTGGGTCACATGGTCACCTCTGTGGCAGAGAAGGAAAATCAGGAGAGCTTCAGCCCCACCTAAACCAGATGGAATGGATTTCTCACAGGAAACAGCTCAGTTCCTAGAAGAAACCTTCTGCTAGATGTGTCCTCTGGGGTGTGTGCATCTCTTACAGGCCGTTAGCCCCCAAACCAATTCAGCCTGGGAGCACACAGCTATGCCTCGCCCTCAGGCCGGGCGCACACCTGGAGCTGTCAAACTGTCAGCCACCAGAGCCCAGGAACAACCAACAGGGTCCCTGTGAGACTGACCTATTGAAAAAGGGAATTATCCAAAGTGATTGATAATAAAGTAATTGTTATCCACAGAGCGAAAGTGCCGACAAAAAGGAGAGAGTGATAAGTGCAGAAATTTTAAATCAGTGCAAAAAAGAAGCAGGCCAACTTGGGGAAGATTCTGCTTGCCTCCTGGATGCCTCGCTCCAGAGCAAGCTCTATCAGGGAGCTTCCCAAGGGCTCCAGGACACGGGACCCGGGCTTAAGACTTGATTGTCACTGGATGACACTAAACTGTTAGTCTCTCCTAAGTCGCTTTTCTGTAAACCAGGGACGGCAAATGCATGTCATTCATGCCACCAAATCGTCATTTGAGGGCTCCGTCATGGTCTCCTGGTGGTTGTCTCCACTCCAAGCCGAGCTTCAAGCACAGCGTTCTGAGCGAGGAAAAAAGGGGATGAGAGTCGTGGTGCCTTCTTTTCCTGCCAGCGCCTCTTATGAGTAAGAAAAAACATCTCTCAGAAATCCCTCAACAGTTGTCCCTTGTATTTCCTTCAGGATCAGGTAATATTCCCAACCCAAGTCAGTTGGCCAAGAGGAGCAGGATAGCCGTAGATGGCTAGTCAGGGCCTGCGCACACTGCTGCCCCAACCAAGTCGAGCTGCAGGAGGACAAGAGTAAGATGGTCAAGGCCGCCAACAGCATTCGCCTTAAGATAAAGCCAGTTTTCTACAGTCTCAACTTGTTAGAGTATAAATATGAAAAGTTTTGTTTTTCCAGTAATTGCCCCCGGCTGTTCTAGGTGGACCCCTATGTCTAACTAGGTAGTGGAACCCCATAAGAACGGCTGGCTGATTTCGTAACTTTAGTGCTTTCCTCCAGTTACTTAAACAGCCTCACTTCATTTCTCAGGCCTCTGTCCTGGTTATCTTAAATCTTCAATCCCATATCCAATGCGAAGGCCTCTTCCACCTCCTCTGGCCTAGATGCTTGCTTAGAGTAGGGGCGTGGCAGGGATGGTCTTTTTGCATCCAACAGAGGCAAGGCCTACTTCTCAGTGCATCGGTGAGCTTATCATGGTGTCACTAGTGGCGTCAGTCACAGACGTTAGGATGACTTCAGTACAAACTGTGGGACATTAGTTTCTAGTAAGAAAACTTGTCAACCAAGAGCTGAGTGGTCTTGCCCTCAGCTATGGTTTGCCTGTACAAGACAGGAATAGGTAACCTAATTGTACAATGTGTCATGGGAAGTGTGAGGAGAGGGAGAGAAAATCTAATAAGGAGCAGACAGAAAGCTTCCCAAGGCGCTCGATTTGAGCTGGGCCTGGTGGAAATAGGGATGCTCTGCCAGATTGCTTTGAGGTGAGGCATTCTAAGTAGAAGGTACGGTTTAAGCAAAGATATAGAAGCAGGAGAGTCTGGGTCCGTCCCAGTGGTAGCACAGTGGAGCTGACAACTTGGGGAGGGGTGGTGAGGGGAGGTATAAGGCAGGTCATGTGTGCAGCCTTGAATGCCAGACCAGAATGGCACCCAAAGCCTCTGGCCTTGCCTTCCCAGCTATACTGGCTGACTGGATAGCTCTGGTGTATGTAGGACCGTGGCCATACAACTTCAGTGTCCAGAGGGACCTTCAAGATCACCCACTGATCTTGTTATGGGGCTGTGCTCCCTTCCCCTCTGTGCTGTGAACATCCTGGACTCTACGGAGGAAACATTAACTGAGCCTGGCTGGGTGCCAGGCTTCCCCTCGGCCTGGTACCCTCCCTCAGGGTTCAGCCTGGGTCTGTTTCAGCTCCACCTTGGGAAGAAAGTTAAATTCGCCAACAACGCTGATAGTCTTGATACAAAATCCATAGAAGACATTTTATTTTCCTTCATTTGATTGAATGGTTTTGCTCTAGCCCTGGCTGATGGGAGTCGAACCCACACATTCCCACAGAGGGAACTGTATTTCTCAAAGGGACCAGAGGCCCTGCTCCTGTCGCCCTCCCTCCCAGCTGCATGTGAGCTTTGCCAGGCGAGGGAAAGGGAATGCTGAGGGATCATTCCTAAGGAAATTCCTTTCCCCAGTCCAGCAGTCTTGGAGCTGGGGAGCAGACATCCATTTTGTACGCAGAGGGCAGTAGGCCCAGAAAGCAATATTAGCCCAGGGTCACACTGCGAGTCAGGGCAGAGCCAAGCCTGAGGCCAGCTCTGGGCTTTCCCCGGCACAAGGCAGCCGGGCAGGATTTGTGCTTCTCAGGGATGGAGCCAGCCACGCAGGAGAGCTCCGCGAAGGTGGACACCAGGAGTGGCCCGAGTGAACTAGGTTCAGCATCAGGTCAGGCTGAAAAGGCAGGCACCTGAGTGGGGTCTCTGACAGGTCCAAGGAGCAACAGGGATCATAAACGTAACAGACACAGCTCTCCTGCCCTTTTTGTGACAGAAAACGGTACAGAGAGGGCACGTGCTGAGTCTAAGGTCTGGTTAGGTTCTCAGGAAGTTAGGCTGGTGGGGGTAAGGGTAAGGCAGGAAGCCTTCACATGGGAAAGCGTGTTAACACCCCTGCCCCCAGCTCCATCCACTCTTTCATTTTTCCTAAATGAAATTCTGTTGTTTTCTTAATGTAAAAAATAACCTGTGTGCGTTCCCCCAAATACCTGGAAATATAAACAAAGGAAAAAGTCACCCTCAATGCACCTTCCTTCCCCTGCCTCTACAAATGAGCGCAGAATCCTTCTAGAGCTGTCTCTGTACCTAGTTGGGGCAGGGTCCTTCCTCTGTGTGCGTGGTAGCACAGGTGGTTACCCCAGGACCATGGTTTCACATCTGGGACGTTGCCTGCTGGTTGGCACTTCCCTGCCTAATGGTTCGC